AGGTGGATGCCCAAAGGAGGCTGTGACCCCGTGGGAAGCCCGCGCTGCAGCAGGCTCCTGGCAGGACCTGTGGACCCGTCGAAAGAGGAGCCCACGCTGGAGCAGGTTTGCTGGCAGGACTTGTGACCCTGTGGGGGACCCACGCTGGAGCAGTCTGTTCCTGAAGGACTGCACCCTGTGGAAGGGACCCATGCTGGAGCAGCTTGTGAAGAACTGCAGCCCATGGGAAGGACTCACATTGGAGAAGTTCATGGAGGACTGTCTCCCGTGGGAGGGACCCCACGCTGGAGCAGGGGAAGAGTGTGAGGAGTCCCCCTGGGGAGGAAGGAGCGGCAGAGACAAATTGTGATGAACTGACCACAACCCCCATTCCCCGTCCCCCTGCGCCGTTGGAGGGGAGGAGGCAGAGAATTTGGGACTGAAGTTGAGCCTGGGAAGAAGGGAGGGGTGGAAGGAAGGTGTTTTAAGATTTAGTTTTTCTTTCTCATTACCCTACTCTGATTTGATTGGTAATAAATTAAATTAATTTTCCCCAACTTGAGCCTGTTTTGCCTGTGACGGTAATTGGTGAGCGATCTCTCCCCGTCCTTATCTCAACCCACGAGCCTTTTGTTATATTTTCTCTCCCCTGTCTGGCTGAGGAGGGCAGTGATAGAGCGGCTTTGGTGGGCACCTGGTGTCCAGCCAGAGTCAACCCACCACACTAGACTAGTGATTCCACTGTTAGAGATATCTGGTTTGGTTTGTTTTTTTTTTAACTTTTATTTCAGTAGCTGAAATATACCTATTGTTACCTTCTTATTGCCCAGGTATTTGAAAGATATATGATCTGTGCTTTCCTTAGCTGTTTTTTTGACCATTGATAAGAAACCTTAACTCAGTTGTTAATTTGGGAGAGAATTTACTGTAGGTAAATTACTGATCAATTTACAGTTTTCAAAGGTATAACAAAAATTCATGTATAAAGTGAAATGCTTGGTGTGTACCACATAACCTTTAAATCATTTTTGTCTTTGTTTTAGGTCTTCCTGAACAATACTACAGCCTCACTTGGTTCCTTAGCCCTATCCTGGGCTTGATCTTCACTCCACTTATAGGTTCGGCTAGTGACCGCTGCACACTGAGCTGGGGCCGCCGGCGGCCTTTTATTCTTGCTCTCTGCATTGGTGTCCTCTTTGGAGTTGCACTTTTCCTTAATGGCTCTGTTATAGGTAAATAATGAGGAAATCACCTGCGTATATCTCCTGCTGACATATCTGCTTTAAGATTTTTATGTAGGAAGATAATGATATGCGGTTGATTTAACGGATGTTTAGTGTTAAAATCATTAGAAATCTCTGCAACACTGCATTTGAGCCATCCATCTTGCATGGTTTTATTCAAAAGTTACGGCGCTATACTAAGCATTGTGCAATCATAGCTGTAACTGTTAGTACAGTGTTATTAATACAATGGTTGCCAGCATAATGTTTGCAGTCGCTGAGACGAATTTGGTCGATCCTTGACATGGGAAAATTGTAGCAACCTGTTCACAGGGAAATGTTTCCTGTTGTGATCCATTTTCCCTTTAATGCATATCTGGCAACACATCCTGTTTCCAGCATTATTTCAAAAATTATCTTTTCACTTTTTCTTGTGCTTTTCTTAGACCTGGTATTGAAAAAGTCCAGAACACAGTTAATATTTGTTTATCAAAAACTATGTGGGAAAATAATTTTTCCTGAGCCCCCATCAAAGCTGGTAAAAATAGTTTCCCTTGAACATAGTTTACTACCGAACTTAATCTACAATCTACGATCTCTTTGTAAATTTAGTGTAGGAGAGGTGACAGCAAGTACATTTGGGGAAATGTTTACATCATGGTTGGACTGATGCAAATGAAAGGAACTTAGCACCTAATAATATCCTCTTGGCTCTCTTTTTTTGGGTTAGATGCAGCTCTATTGTGAAAAAGTTTTACTAATTGAGGGAAATGAGTGGAACATTACCTTGGCTCAGCATGTTAGCTTTTTAAAGCCAGATTAGGGTGCCATATGATGGGTTTCAATTTTCTGCAAACCGCAGTGGACAAACTGTTCAGATGAATGACGTTTAGCTTATGATTTTTTAATTTACCGAAGCAATAAATATTAATTATTTGAATTGCTATCACATGGTACCAATTGTACTTTGTAGTTGTGTCTCCAAGACTTACTCCTCCTCGTCCAGATGCATGCAAGATGTTAGACTGCAGCCCTCTTGCAAGATTTCAATTGATAGGAAGCTCTTACACAGTGGTTTAGGTCAGTAGCCATTGATACTGGCAAGCAAAGCTCATACGCAGTTTATAGGTTTATTTTGAAGTATCTCACCCTCGGATAAATCAGCAGAAAATATCATCTTTGATTTTTCTCTAATTCTTTGATACACAGTAATACAGTCTATTGCATAGCTTCCTAGAAAACCTGTGCTTTCCGGATATTCCAGTGGTACTTTTGTGCAATGAAACTTCTTTAAAACACAGAGGTTGTTGCAATGCACTGCAAAAGTGAGCTGTGTGCTTTATGCATCCATTCCTGGGACGTGGCTGTGGTAGATTTTGAATGAAAACCCTCTTCTGAAAAGCACTTTAAACACTGCTGTGCCTCTCCCTTGGGAGCCTGGAGTGAACTGAACTGAAGTGAGAGCCATTCCATAGTCTTCTCTTAGGCCTGTTCCATACTAGGAGATATTCACCACTAACATTCAATTTACATCAGCATAAGATAACACTTGACATCAGCGTAAGACAGCACTTGATCTACTATTTAGAGCAGATGCACAATATGATAAAGCAATATTAGTCTCTCTTCAATTGAAGTTTTTGAAATGGTGGCTTGTGTCACTTTTCAGAGAGAAAAGGCACTGCTTACTAGTCTCTTGCAAAAGGGGGTGTCTAGCGGTTTGCTGGAAGAGGCCTCATTTGTAACCAGATTTCCTTCTAGATGGACCCCGTATGCTTTCATTGTCTGTCTTCTTCCCATTTTATGTTCGCACTTTCCTATCCTTAGTCTCCAGTTACTTGCACTCCTAATTTCAATTTGGGGCTACAGGAGATGCTGCAAAAACTGAGGTGGTCATTGTATTGTACCCTTTTTCATAACCCGGCCTCTGGCAATAGGAGTCATCAGGAGGGGAACAAGGAGCACAAGAGCATGCTAAAAAAGAGGTTCTCCAATCCTAACAATAATACAACCGTGTCCCAGGAGAACAGCTGTGTATAGATCTTATTCAACTCTTGTTCTCGCCACTGTACGCACTGTTCAGGTATCCAACAAATCTAAAGCACTGACACCATTGGTGGGTGTTTTCTGCTGTAAGATTCAGCCGAGCGTGGAACACGTATAAACTTCTTCAGCATTCAGAGGACTTGGTATAAATGAGGATTGAATATGCAGGAATCATAGCACTTGAGATTTGGATGATGTTTGGTGACCTAGCCAGTTCATCTCTTTCCACAGTCATTTTCATCAGTTACACTAATGGTTTTATCAGTCTTGCATGTGTAACGTTTAAATCTCTCTGATTCAAGTAATTCATGGTTTTGTCAGTGGTTCATTTCATGAAAAATTCTCCAGCTATATACTAATGCTGCCTTTCTACTCTGTAGACAAAAAGCATTTCATCCCATGCTAGCAACAGAAGCTGACTGATGCTTTTTGCAATGCAAAATACCTTCATGGTGCTTCATCCTTAAAAGTTTTGCTTATAAAAGTGATCTAGAAAATATGAATGTTTAAGAAAAGCAGAGAGAGGTGGGGGGGTTAAATTTCACTTTATCCTGTTGTGCTGTGACCATTACATGTTAGGCACTGTGTCAGGAATGCTGTTGGCAGTGCAGTTACCTGTGTTTGTAACTGATAGATGAGGTATGACAGTTTGTTTTTGGATGCTCTCCTCTCTCACCATGGCTGTCTTTTATAAAAACAGCCTTCAGCATTTGAAGGAAAATGCATGTGAGGAACATGAAGTAGTATCTAATGCTCTCAAAGGTTTAAGAGATACTTTTAAAAAAATAACATTTTGAAAAATAAATGTCAGTCCTAAAAGTGTAAAAACATAATCTTCTGTCCCAGACCTTCCATGAAGCTGTGCCAAAGAGCTGAAATTGCCATTTTACTCTGTAAAGGAATGTTTCCAATGAGTGTGTTGGCCGCCTTTCTCTTAAGGAGTTAAGCTTGCTCTTAGTAGTTTCCCCTTTTCGAATGACATGCTCAGATTCCTCTTCCGTTTTTCCTCAGGTCTGGCTATTGGTGATGTCCCGGACAAGCAGCCCATTGGTATAGTTCTCACGGTGCTTGGTGTTGTGGTGTTGGACTTTTGCGCTGATGCAACAGAAGGGCCAATTCGGGCCTACTTGCTGGATGTGGTGGACAGTGAAGAACAAGACATGGCCCTTAACATTCATGCGTTTTCAGCTGGTATGGAGTTAGTCGATATGTTTTTGGCAGCTGTCAAGTCTTCCTGATGACCAAGTTGTGACTGAATTGATTTTTACTGAACTCACTTCTTGTATGTTCTCTTCCACAGGTCTGGGAGGAGCAATCGGTTATATGTTAGGAGGGCTGGACTGGACACAGACCTTTTTGGGTGGTATTTTTAAATCTCAAGAGCAAGTCCTTTTCTTCTTTGCAGCCATTATTTTCTCTGTCTCCGTTGCTCTCCACCTTTTTAGTATTGAAGAAGAGCAATATAACCCTCAGCAGGACAGGATTGATGATGAAGGGGACACACTTTCCAGTGTCAAATTCAGTGGTAGTCTCCCCCCTCTGAATCGACTGAATGTAATTAGTGAGGAAGAGCCGTATGGAGCCTCTATGTTCCACGATGAGGTTCAGTCAGAGCATGATCTCAATATGGAGTTCCTTGAGGTGAACATTGTAAGAAGTAAGAGCGACTCAGTTCTGCACATGCCCGATGCTACATTGGAAATTGAATCCGAGCTGCTTTTTCTGCATGACATCGAACCCTCCATTTTTCAGGATGCTTCATATCCAAACACTCCCCACAACACAAGCCAAGAGATCATGAAGTCCAAACTCAACCACCTGTCTGCTTTCCTCAGGGACAATGAGAAAGAGGAGGAAATGTTGCTTGATAATCGCTTAAACGAAGATAAAGTCCCAAACGCAAATGGCTCCCTACCAAAAGAGTTCCTCAATGGACATGCTAGAATAGGCATGAAGCAATCTAGTACTTCAAACTCCATGCGAAGGCGGAGGCACATGTTCTACCGTCAGCCGTCTTACACCTTCTCGTACTATGGCAAAATAGGCTCTCACCGCTATCGCTTTCGTCGGGCCAATGCCATCGTCTTGATAAAGTCTTCACGCAGCATGAATGATATCTACGACATGCAGAAGCGGCAGCGACAGAGGTACAGACACAGGAATCAGAGTGGCACGACAAATTCAAGTGGAGACACAGAGAGCGAAGAGGGAGAAACTGAAACCACTGTCAGACTCTTGTGGTTGTCGATGCTAAAGATGCCGAAGGAGCTGCTGAGACTGTGCGTCTGTCACCTCTTAACTTGGTTTTCGATCATTGCTGAAGCTGTGTTCTATACAGATTTCATGGGCCAGGTCATCTTTCAGGGCGATCCAAAGGTAAGAGAACAGTTATTATTGGCCAACTTGCTTATAGTTACTCATTTCTGAGATGTGCTCATTACGAGAAAATGGCTTTGCGTTTGTTTGTTGCAGGCCCCTTCTAACTCAACTGAGTTACATGCCTATAATGCTGGAGTTCAGATGGGATGCTGGGGACTGGTAATTTATGCTGCTACTGCTGCCGTTTGTTCAGGTAAGAGACACTGCACAATCAGACAGTGGAATGCACCTCATATATGTATTTGCAAGGTAAAAATAGTTTTGCTTCAGTTAGCATCCGCCTCCTTGTTTGGGGTGAAGGGTATTTTGGAAAAGCATTTCACGTGGTCATAAGGGGAGAGGCTTCTTTAAGAATCAATGTTAAAAAATTCCTCCAAATGTAGAGGTGGAAATATGAACAGGTCTGGCAAGTGGCATAAAACACAAAATTATATCGAAGGATATTGAATGGCATTTAGCTAGTCATCAGGAAACTGAATTATGCTTGTTAGAAGATTCAAGCATATGTAAGAGGGTTTTTGCAAAGACTGTTTTTAAAATCAAAATTAGAAATAGGTATTTCTGAAAGTCTCCTTCTTGCTCTCTAATAACAGAGAAACCGACTACAGACAATTTAGGCTTGGAATACAGACTGAAATGGAAAGCTTTTGCCAAACTTAAGTTCTGCCTTTTGCAGCGCGTGTGCAGGCACATCTGCACAGATCAGTATCGTGGGGACTGCCTCTTTGTTGAGACATGTCAAATTGAAGTTCAGGTGGGCAGCTTGTTTCTGAACGCAAACTGAAATGTGGCTAGAAACGTCAATTATCTGATCACTTTGTTTAGTGAATGTGCTTGCATTAGAAGCAGAATCTCCTCTGTGCTCAGAGTCTACCTGCATCGATAAAGTTAATAAATAGGTAAAATCAATGAATGGATTGAGTGAACCATGATATGATACATTTAAGTCTCAAGCATTTTGTTCTGCCTCAGACTTGCAGCATGGTTTAGGCAAGTCTCTGAGCTCATTTGTTCCCCAGTTTCTGAAGTAGCGATACATCCTTTTCCCAGTGAGGGCTGAGCTATGCTGCTAAGACAAGCTAAATACGCAGTGAGCATCCAAGACCCAAAGAGTATATTGAGCTGCCACGGCCACGTCAATACCATAAAACCTCACTGAGTAAGCTGGTATTTATGTTTTATTCTTGATCTCTGCAGCCTTGTTGCAGAAATACTTGGACAACTATGACCTTAGTATAAAAGTGATCTATATCCTGGGCACGCTGGGTTTTTCTCTTGGCACTGCAGTGATGGCTATGTTCCCCAACGTGTACGTCACCATGATAATGATCAGCACCATGGGAATAGTCTCTATGAGTATCTCCTACTGCCCCTATGCGCTTTTGGGACAATACCATGATATTAAACAGGTACGTGGAATATGCTGAATATTTTAACCAAGGCGTTTCTCTGAAGATCCCAGTGGCAAAATGGATTTGTTAAATCCCATTGTTTGAGATACCTGCTTTGTTGGGATGTGTGCCAAAGCACAGATTCATCCTTGATAGTAAATAGCAAGAGCTGCTACTTAAATCAGATGGTATTAGCATCAAGTTGGCTCAGTGGGGTCATGACTGCTTTACCCTGTGCTGAGGTATAAAAGGATTTGGTGCATATGGTAGATGAAGAGAGATGAAATAATTATTGGAGTATTTATTATATACCTAGTTGTTAGTACTGTTTCTGACGTGTTATGTTAGCATTACTCAGGTTCTTCGCAGTCTTAGATACTGAGGTGCGTCTGGAAATGCAGCTGTAAGTTTGGGGAGACGCAAGACAAACTGATTGTGCTGGAAACAAGGGCAGATTTACTTTCCACTTTTTAGCACTGTTCCATTTGTATTACAAATTACAGGAGGATCATTTATTTTAACATGTTTCTGCATTGGGATTGGGAGGGAGATTCCCGTTTATAATCATAAAAATAATTTCCACCAACTGTTTCATGTAATTTTTTTTTTTTTTTTACAAAACCTAATCTTGGAGCCAATTCACGCTAGGAGTGCCCCAGTAAATATCTGCCTCTTGGTGTAAGATGAGGAGGCCATTGATACGTGGATAAGGAGGCTGTTGCTTTGGACTTGTATAGCCTGCATGATGCACAAGGATGGCATAAAGTTGACCATGTGGCGGAGAAATTCGAGGAAGATACTGGTGTTTAAATACTTGATTTCATCCATTGTTTTACCTCCTAATGCGTTTCTTGTCTTTTTCCAGTACATTCACCATAGCCCCGGGAACTCAAAGCGAGGATTTGGCATAGACTGCGCCATTCTGTCATGTCAGGTTTACATCTCCCAGATCCTCGTGGCCTCTGCACTTGGTGGTGTGGTGGATGCGGTTGGCACAGTCAGAGTCATTCCCATGGTGGCTTCAGTGGGATCCTTCCTGGGTTTTTTGACAGCTACCTTCTTGGTGATTTACCCCGAAGTCAACGAAGAGCCAAAGGAAGAACAGAAAGGACTAGGTCCTCCAGAGACAACCGAGGGCAACACCACGAGCGCAGAGAAGCCGACTGTGCTGAAGCTCACGCGCAAAGGAGCTGCCGCATCGGAGCTGGAGAGCGAGTCAGCCATGTGAGGCCATTACTTGTTGTTCACCCACATTCCAGGGAGGCAGGTGCAGGATCAAGAACTTCCCCCCCCTACGGCCCAGGAAAACAAATTAGGATCTTCACTACTTGTAGCTAAAATTGCAGAAGAAAAGGCAGTTTCGTGCAAAAGTGTAAATGAAATTCTGTAGTCCTTAATATAGGCTTGAACAGGTAGCTATGATGCTAATTGCTTTCTCTACAACTTAGAAATGTCATTTCTGAACACTTTTTTATTAAGAATACATTTAGATTTCGAATAAGTTTTATTAATCTGCATGAGACTCACAGTGTATACAATTAGCAGTTAGAAAAATTAAGTTTTCGGCTGTTTTTAAACTAACTGAAAATGGAAGCTATCTTGACTTATAGTCTCTTGCTCTTTTTTTGTCTGAACATTTCAGATTTCACTAGTGTAATAGCTGAATCAAACGCTTAGACATCTTGATCAGTTTTTTTCATAAGCATGATATTATTGGTCTGACAGCTACAGTTCTTTAACGTTAATTTTAGACTTCACGTTTTTTGTTAGTGCAATTACTACAGAATAGTTTTATTTGCAATTATTTTCAAGAAAAACAAAAGCAATTACTGCGGTTTCTAAGAAACTGCTGTGAATCCTTTTAGTCATACTGTTCAACAACTACTCCCAAGTCTGCTGCTTGTCGGGAGAGGGTGACATTGGGTGCATGATGTGAACTGTAGATGGAAGGAGCAGCAACTGGGAGAGGTGACCAGCACTGACAGGTTTTTATCACAAGTGCTGAATTTTATGAATGTCGTTGGAATACGCTGTGACAATTTTTAGCTCGGAGTTTTGCGCGCTGGTGAACTCGGGGGTTTTCTTGGCATTTAAACCTGATCATCTCTGGATGAAGCTGCCATGGAGAAGGGGTGTCTCTGGGGTCAGCTTTGTGGGAGGGGGTGTGCGGATTCTCTCTCATGGGAAAAGGAAGTCGTTGATTAATTGCACTTTTTATGATCCTTTAACCTCCTGGCTAGGAACGCAGCAGCCAAGGTAAAGGCACAGTGTCAGTACAACAAGGTAAACCGAAGGCCTACCTCCGTCGCTTTATGGCATAGTCTGGGTGTGTAAAAATCTGTCAAACAGTTTTTAGGCCTTAAAATTCAATCCACTAGCATGTGTTGCTGTTCCAGTCCCTGTGTTGGAGGAATTGTAGGCTGGAGTTCTTT